CGTCTTTAATTTTGTGTCCGAATCATGAATTGTTTTATTGGAGTTGATTTTATTCCATGTCTTTAATGAAATGATTGATACTGATGCTCCTGTATCTAGGATCATGTTTGTTTTCTTACCTTCTATATTTAAATTGATTTTGAATTTTTCTTTACAAGATTTGATATCCATCGAGTATATATACGATATATCTTCCTCTTTGTCTCTTTGATCGCAATATTTAATCAGATGTTTACCGCTACCGCATTTGAAGCAAGTTTTTTTTGTCTGACTGTAATATTGATTGTCGTTGTATTTAAAGTTATTATTGTTGGTGTTGTAATTTCCCCTTGTCTTATCGTAAGAATATTGATACTTATTTTTATGATAATAATTATTGTTGTCGTACCAATTTTTATATCGGTAGTTATCATTGTTATTATATTTGTTGTCATTATTATTATATTTGTTATCATTATCATATTTGTACCGCGGATTAACGTTATTATATCTTCCATAACTCGAGTTGTCATAATTATTATATCTAGTAAATCTGTTATCGAATCTCGTTTGGTGGGGATAATTGTCACTGTAGCGTTCCTGAACTATGTTATTATTATTATTACTATTATACCTTTTATTGTCTTGTATATAGTTTATTTCCTTATTTTCTATTTTGTCTTCCTCTTGTTCCTTTCCGGCTTGACAATAAAATATATCTTTTGTTTTTTCCTTTTCGTCTATCAAGTCCATGGTTCGAAGGAGTTTTTCAATTTCCTCTATACCCATATCTTCTTCGAGTAATAACTTTGTCGTGATATCTTTGCTTTCTAAACCATTAATTATTTGCATTTTTAAGTTCTCTTCATATTTTTCTTTGAAGTTGCATTTAAGTGCCAAAGATTTTAGTGAATTTAGAAATTCTAAATTGGTTTCCCCGTCCCTTTGGGTACGTTTATAAAATTGAAAACTTTCCAATGGTGCAATTTTTTTATCGTTGTCTATTAGCGAATCTAGCATATCGTCGTATTTTATTTTATTAATTGACTTCGGAGAGGATTTTAAAATAACCTTATTTAAGTCATAGGTTGATAATGCCGATATCAATGCTGCTCTCTTTTTCTCGTTGTCCGATATATCATTTAGTATAAAGTAGGCTTCTAGTTTTATTCGAAAAGTCGTAAATGAGTCATTGTTTTCTTTAACAGGAATTGCTGCTGGCATTTTAGACAATTTTATATCAAATTTAAATTTTCTCTTTTTTTTTATATATATTTCCGTGCGGGTTCTTCCGTATACATAGTCGCCATTATAATATTTTCCGATTTCTATTATGTCTTATATTTTTTATTATATTTTTTTTCCAAATTCTTTTTTTCTTTTCATAATAATCAATTTCTAAAAAATCTATAATCAAAAAAATATTTATAATTCCGAGAAAAAATAAATTCCATGAAAAATATTGATAAATTTCAAAAATCGATAATCAAAAATAATATTGATAATTCCGAGAAGAAAAAAAAATAAATAAATAAAAAAAAATGATGAACATAACATAACCTTTTTTATGAACCTTGTTTTAAATAAATTCTAAATTAGTGATATTGCATTTATGACTGACATGTTAAGATTCAACTTAGTGATATTGACATTTATGACTGACATAAGAGTTCATTTAAAGCAAATTATTTATTTATAATTTTTTTATAAAAAAGATTCCATTTAATATATATATTTTTATTATACATTTCAATAGTTGATTTATTTTGTAACGAAGGCTTAACTCCTTAAAAAAGTTATAATGGAGTGGATACATACTATTGAGGCAAAATCTTTAGCTGACAATTTTGGTATCACCAAGCAAGACTCACACAAATTTGTTGGTAAGTAAAATATTTTTGCATAATATTGTATTTATTATATAATGTATTATATTTTTAGCTTCTGGTCGCCAGACATGAAAATGAATGTATTTCATTTTGTAAAATGTTGTGACATTTGTCAGTTTAGCAACACAAGATTTGATAAAATAGTGAGTTACATTCAATTCCTATTCCAGAAAAGGTAGTAAAGTTGATCACATTACAAATTCTTAATTTAAATTTTTTTTTTATAGTTTTGGTCATTTTAATTATATCTAATCTTTGTTATGTATTTTATATTTTTCATTTTTAATAGTCTGTCTATTATAGCTTATGTATGTGGCACTTTATTAGTTATGTTGATTAAACCATCTAAATTTTATGTCAGCATCCTTCTATTTTGAATTTTTTTACAAGAAATATATAATATATTCATTCTTAGTCTCTAAAATATTATTAAATACAACTAATGGTTAATGTAACATAATCAAAAATAAAAATATAATTCTAACAATTAGAACTTATAATCTGAAAATAAAATGAATATAGGCCCCTTCAATCTCAGGTATATTTTTTTATTTGGGTTAATTTTATTTAAAGAACCGTTCCTTATGTTATAAAAATATCCTTTGATATAAAAGGAGTATTTCATGCCCATAATGATTCTCTAAGAGTTTCTAGCCCACATCCTAAGGAAAACTTCCTAAAAAGATTCTTATGAAAGACAATATTCGAACACCAATGTCCATTCAAATCTCCTATATCAAATTCTAGAATTCCTTCGATTAGAATAACTTATTAGTTAACAAAAAACTTTCTCTACTTATAAATATTCCAAAAATTTGAGAAATTAGATAATTAACAAATTATCTATGATAATCGATTCTTTGAATTTAAATTCCCCGTCAGCTTGGGAGAATTTCTTTACTTTTCCTTCTAAGGTGCTCAACGAAGTCTTATGTAGATTTGTAAGGAAAGGATCAATAATTGGATAATATAATTTTTCCTACAACAAAAAATCTTATTTTAAAATGTAAACTTATCTATAAAATCTTGGATATGAAAGAGGGGCTATGAGGCCGCATCATCTGATAAAATGGCCCTAACCAAAGAAGATTGGCTAAAATATTGAGTCGCATTTTAAAAAATCAACTAAATCGAGTTTTTTGACAACACTAGCAGGTTTAAAGTATTTAGATAAATAAATATAAAACTTCTTTAATATACTAATAATGCAAAATTTACAAGCATAAATAGCTATTACAAGTAAATATTATATTTGTAATAATTTCTGGGTGTAAAAATATAATTATAAAAATTATATTACATTTTAAAAATGAATATAACATTTAATTGCGGTGTGTAAAAACAGAGATTACAAAAATAAATATAACTTATATGGTAGGATTGATTTAGATATTAAATAATAATGTATGCTAAGTTTAACTTGAAAATAAAAGTATATTTGTTTTTGATAACGATAATTCTTTTTCTAATTTAATAAAGAAAGAAAGAACCATACTTTAATAAATTCTTAAATTCCTTATTATGATATAATTTTTTTTCCATATTTCTACCTATATTTTTAAGGAAGAAAATTAGAATTGATTTAACTAAAACTTTCTAGTTCCGATCTAAAAGAAATTGCCATCTTATTCTTCATTTTTTTAAGAGGGATGCTGTATCTAGCTAACAAATAGGTTAAGCCAGATAAAGTTTTATTAAAAAAGAGTAATATAATAGTAATATTTATGTTATTTGATACCTGTCACATTTTCTATCAAACGTTTTCTTAGTCAATCTTTATTTTAGCAAAACTCACGGAATAAAAAATATTTTTTTCTTCCAAATATTTATTTATCCACGTTTTAATTATATTAAGTAAACAAACATTCAAATAAAAATTATAATCAAAAAACAATAAAAAATGCATTATATATTTGTATATGGAACACTCAAAAGTAATGAACCAAACAATTATCGCCTTTTTGACACTAATAATGGCATTGCACAATTACATTTCAACTCCAAAACTCGTGATAAATGGCCTTTGATTATCGCAACAAATTATAATATTCCATTCCTATTAAATCAAAAAGGTATTGGAGAGGTAATATTGTCTTTTCAAATGGATTATTAATTTAAACAGTATATTGATGGTGAAATTTATCTCGTTGATGATCAGATGATGAGCTATTTAGATAAATTTGAGCATATCCCCCATGATTATGAAAGATTACAAATAGATGTAATGATTATTAAATAAAATATATATAGATATTTTCATTAGGTTATATCTCCTGATTCAAACAAAGATTTAAAATGTTGGACATATTTAAGAACAAAACCAATTGTAAACAAGCTAGAACAGAATAACTATTTAAAGTCTTATACAGATAGTGATACATATAAATATATAAAACATGATAATATGCCAATTTGATATAAAATAAATTTGCTAACTTTTAATCTGGTTGATTTTACATTGGGAATTTATATTATTTTATAATTAATTGTTTAATTAACTAAAAATTACATTTAAATACTTTATAAAAATTAAATTTCAATCCTCTCACACTAAATAGGCATCAAAATCATCAGAATTAGAGCCCCTTAAGTACATCCAAGTCAAAATGATAAATTAAACCCTTTCAAACTCAATCTCCTTCAATTTTAACGAATACCCATCGAATTTAAAAAAATCATTTCACAATTTTCAAAGTAAAATATTGAGCTATATTGTTTAATGAATGCTTAATTTTTTTTTTAAGTTTTCACCTTTTAAGATAGTAAGCTTCTTCTTCCATTTAATAGTTATATTCCAAGTCTTTTAATTTTTTTGATCTTAAAATAATGTTTCTTTTTTTAAAAATTTTATAATTTTTATATATATTTTTATATTATATAAGAACCTTTGTTTAGGGGACCTATGAAAATATGTTGACAAATTTAGAAAAAAACGAATAATTTTTTTCAAGAATTTGAAAATTATTTGGTAAGCAAATATTTATGGCAGTCGTGAGTGTATTTTATTCTTTTTCATCCATTTTTAATATAAAAAAATAAGTAGATTGTTTATTACCAGAAATTTTATAAATATATTCTGATATTCATAATTTTAAAATCCTTAAAAAATAATTTGATGAGATTTTAAATAATTAAAAATATATATGGATGAGAATAATTGAATACAACTTTTTAAAAGCTGGAGAATTAGAATTAAATAATTTAATGTATAAAATTAAAAAAATGTGCTTATGATTCTCCAAATATAGTATACAATGATCGGAATGATAACTGCACTCCATAAAGAGTACTTAAAATCACAACGTGGAATCCAAAATATGGGGGGACTATAAATTTTTGTTCTTGAAATGCTTGACATGTGATCGATTATAGTGGATTTATCAAATTCTTTACCCAATGATGGTTGATAGTATTCAGTAAGGGTTAGAGATAATATTTTATCCATAAGATGACACATTTCCTTTTTATGCTCAATTGATGATTCAATGTCACTGGTTGTTTTTGATATGCTCATTTTGTGTTTAATCTATAATAAAAAAATATATATAAAAAAGGTTAATAAATATAAAATTTATAGAAAATATTTCAAAAATGCCAAGCCAAAAAAGTTAAAAAATATTATATAAATCTACTTTAAGGGCATAATAATGTAACATGGTTTTGGTGTTGGTTAGATCTTGGCAATTGTTAAATATTTTAACGGTTTCTGAACGAGGAATTTTGACGTGATTTTCGAAGAGGGCAGGGTTATCGTAACATAATGTTAAGGTTGCTATGGCCATCACCTAATGTGACGAAAATCAAATTTATTATTTTCTTCCCAACATTTTAAAACTTGTTATTAGTGCTGATAAACGGCTCATTTTGAGCCGATTTATAAAAGCGGTTAACTCAATATTTTATTAGGAAAAATATTATGCAAGTCTTAAGAATTTTGTTCGTAGGTGGCAAAAGGTTTGAACATCTGTTATCGAGCCGTTTAAAAACACTGCCCTTTATTCAATCATATATAGTGTTTATAAACATAGTTAATATTAATAATCGTATAATTAACAGTAAGGGAAAGAAAGAGAAATATATGTTCAAAAAGATGGAATCGTAAATTAGGAGGAGGGAAATAGTACGGATAGTCTCGTGAATCTATAAATTTCTATATGAAGGCCTATATTGACAAGACTCAAACTTATATTGATGATTTTTGGGATCAAATATGTATACAAAATTAACCCGCAACATATATAACAATCATATTCTTGATCCAAGAATCAGGGATCCAAACCGAACCTGAACCGAACCGTTAAACCGCTAAAAACCGGTATTTTTAAAAAATTTCTAGACGAACCTGACCCGAACCGCTAAAATGCCTCTGAACCGGTTCGAGTCTCATTATTTTATGCTTATAAAATAATGTGTAAGTTTTTACTAGTAGTATATTGCAAAAATATTAATTATATTCAAATTGTTTTAAAAATTTGATTGATAAACGTCAGTCATAATTTTTATACTTATAAAATAATGTGTAAGTTTTTACTAGTAGTATATTGCAAAAATATTAATTATATTCAAATTGTTTTAAAAATTTGATTGATAAACGTCAGTCATAATTTTTATAAACTTTAGTATATTGGCATTTTACAATATTTTAAGCTTATAAATTTTAATGCCTAGAAAAAAATTAAATCTAATATATAAATTTTTACATATAGTTTTATAAATGACACATCAAATCTGATATCATAATGGCAATGCCAACTACCCAAGTTAGTGTGGGAGAATGTTTTTCAACAGATAAATTTATATTATCTCCTTATAGATGTAATTTGAATGGGACGAATTTTGAAAATTTATTAATTGTGCAGCTTAATAAAAAAAATTTGATTGTTCATATTAAAATTATGATATATTTATTTGTTATATTTATAAATAATATTATTTTATAATGTGCAATTAATAAAAATGAAGGTTTTTATTTTAATTATGAAATTAAAAAAAAATTTTCCTTAAACATAATTATAATGTAGGTTTGAATACAAAAATGTTCAAACCGGTTTTTAGAGGTGTGAACCGAACCGATATTTTTATTTTTGGCGAATCGAACCTGGACCGTTATTTGTATCCGAACCCGAATCGATATTCGTTTCGGTTTGGATCCCTGCCCAGAATTTCCAGGAGTAAACAATGAGTTTTAATAGTAATCTACTTATATTAAAGTTTTGATTGACATATGAGAAATTTGTCAATCAAAAAAGTTTTGAGCCTAAAAATTAAAAGTCTCACACAGTAAGGTATTTTTCCGAATTGTTATCTTACATTATTTTTTTAAAATTTAAATAATATATAAGAAAAGATTAACATTTGAGATATTATATAAAATAAAATAAAGGTAAAGTGTTCGGCGGGAAAAATGCTAACACAAATTTCAAATTGCTATATCTCAGTATTTAAAGGGATGGGTATCAAATCAATGCCACCAAATTATAATAAAGTTGAATGAATCTAAAAAAAATTAACGTAGATTTAACCTGTGGAATAGCACAAAACCGGAAAATGGAAGGATCTTTGACAAGGGCCAGGAATAGCAAGGTATTGGGGACGTGTTTAAGTGCTAAATAAATTAGGTGTTTAGCGAAAGCGATCGAGGATTCTAAGTATTTAGGTTCAATGAGCGAATCGTAATGATTAGTTTTCAGATATTGGAATAGCAGCTGATCCATCATTCAGTCATTGATGGAATTTGATATTCAAATTTTTTAGTGTAAAAAAATTAGAAGTATAACTTAAGAATATATTTATTTTTTGAAGTATGTTCAAATTTAAAAATTATGTGCTTCCTGCTGGACTCTTAAAAATATTGACCAAGCTTTTAAAAAAATAATTGTCACAGTCACAGTTATGAGTTATCATTGTTGTTTGTTTGCTTTTTTTTCGTATTTTATTGATCAAAACGGTAAATGTTACATGTTTTTTAAATAGTCCATAGATTTATTTCTGGCAGGGACCTGCAGGCCCCGTATTTTAATTTTTTTTAGGGCCGGATTGTATATTTTAAAACCAAATATATTAAATCGCAATTAAATATAAAAATTAAATATAATATATTTTTAAAAAAAAATCCTGGTCGGACAGTGCAAATGGTATCTCGGAAAGTTTCTGGTTTATGGCTATCAATATTTATAAACTGGATAGACGGGAAAATGAACCTGCCAATCTTGTAAAGAATTTATACTGTCATAGATTCTAAAAATTTTAGTTTAAAGTTCACGATATTATTTATTTGTGTTTAAAAAGAATAAAAAAAATTTTTTTTTTATATAATATAAATATTAAAAATAAGTAAAATAAAGTACTTGGATCGTGTCCCATGCCGACTTATTACTAAATAGCAGGATATTTAGTATCGACAATTAGCCAAAAAAACATAAAAAAAAGTCTCTTCTGTTCGTTTCGCCTAAAATAGATATAAAATTTACCGCCCACCATTTGCCAAGGTTTAGAATATTTTATAAAGCCCGCCCATACCGGCTCGAAGAATGAGAAGACGTTTTCCTGCCCCGCTTGTAGAATGAGAAGGTGTGGACCTGAGGGCTAAAAACTCGCCCACTGCAGACCTCTAAGTTAAAAGGGCTATAGGAAATAAATGTTTTTGTGAAAGTTAATTTTCGTGATGGGTTTCTTTTTAGAAAAATCTGCACTTGTTTCGCCATTCGAATTGTTAGTAAGACGGAGAGACATCGTTATAATGTTGAGAGGTGTTGTGAAAAATAAAAAAAAGAGTTTTGCAAGAAATTTATTCATAGGCAAACAAAGGCATATCCTCCGGAAAAATAATTTAAATATAGATACAGATTCTTTATAAAAAAAATGAATCTTAGATAGAGATACTTTTAAATTATCATTACCAATTAAATTAAAATAGTTTATAAAATGCAGTTTTTATTATTTATTTGTGAAAAACATAGCATACACATATAATAAGAATGAATATTTGCAATAATTAATAAAATATTTATTGATGAATTAATTATAATAACCAGGGATTTTAATATTAGTTTTTGCCCATTAGTCAGGAAAGGGAGAGTAGTATATTTTATGGGAGTTGAAAATTTGCGAGTAAGTAAAAAAAATTAAATCAAATGATTATTTTTTCAAATAATTAATTTTTCAAATAATTGATCATTGAGCCTTTGCCTTTTTGGCGTATTTAACATTGTGCTAAAACTAAATAACCTCTCAACAGGAGCTGATGAAGGTATGGCAGTATTATATTTTTAAAAAAATTCCCTAATTAAAGGATATAAATTAAGCATTTCTAGTGTTTTTCGGTAATCTTTAATATAATTTAAAACCTCGAGCTCAATGTTGTTTGTATTGTTGAATTCAACAACATTTGTTACACCAAAAGAAAAATAATCATTTTCTTTATTAGATATTAAATCTATTGATGATAGGCATGAGCTTGATAGTATACTATAGATGCTAAATTTAAGGCTTCATTTAGTAATATATTTTGAAAATATATTTTTTATCATCAGATTGAATCCATAGGTTCTTAAAATATGGATGTGATAATGATGCCAAAAAGGCCTCATTATATTCATCATCATAAGAAAAAACAAATCTTTTACCCATAGCATTTTGGACAGCTTTTAATAGAGGTAGACAATATTGCAAACTTGAATGTTCTTTACCTAATTCCCTTTTAACTATATATAGTATGGGCACTAATTCCCCATAAAATGTACTACTCTGACCTTGTAGTTTGTCTAATTTTCCGCTATATTTTAAATATATTGATAACCAAAATTAGTTGGAAATTTTAAAGGTCACGATTAATTAAAAAACAACACCAAAACTAAATAAGTAAAGGATTTATTTTATATGCAATACTTTTTAATTTGCATAATGTCCAATATTCATAGTGAAGATGAAATTATGGATAGGTTCACCTGAATCAAATACAAATCCTAAAATTCTAGCTGGAAAATTTTATAAAGTAATTCATGTGAATATGGACAAGGTACGAGTTGAATGTCAAAATTGCACAAGTAAAAAAGTTATTAAAGGTTCAACAAACTCCTCTACAAACTTTGTTAAACATATTAAACATTTTTATTTTATAATTATTTTGTATATTAATATGTATACCTAAATCCTTCATAGGTAATTGTTATTTTAAAATTTTTTATATATAATCATTTTAGCAAGTTCTCTTATTAGAGGAAATATTTAAGCTACAATTAATATATAACAGATTATTTTAAAAGGCTCTTAATAAAATAATTATAACAAGGTAGAATTTAACTTTAGTTACTTTTTTTATTTATGATATAAGTAAAATTACATTACAATATTTATTTACATAATTTAATCAATTTAAAATGCATAAGAAAATTGTTATGAATTTAATAATTAAATTATATAATGTACATTATTTTCATATTTTTTATATATAATTTATGAAGAAATATATAAAAAAAATTTGAAAAGAGATTTAAATGTTATTTATATATATGATATTACAAATGCAAGAATTAATAAGTCATATTAGAAAATAAAACTAATTTAAAAAATACATAAATATTACAAACAAGTAATGATAAATACTTATTAAAGATAATGAATAAAATAAAACTAGTATTTTTTTTAGAGATGCCATTTAGCTCCGAATATAAGCTATATTTAAAACACAGAAAAAAACCTGCAAATTCTAATACCATAAAAAAATGATTCAACCTAGTATATCAGAATCATTTAATGCAATTAATAAAATAAAACCGATAATTACCCAAAATAAAATTGATAAATTGATATGTGCATTTATTGTCAAGGGTTTACACCCTTTGAGCCTAGTTGAACAGCCTGAATTTGTTACAATGATGGAAAGTTAGATAATTTATATATAGATAAATATTGATATGATATTTTAGATAATCTTAGTAACATTAAATCATTTAAAAATTTTTCAAGGAGGTCTTTGCAGAGAAGAATAAAGGAAATTTTTGAAAATCATGTAGATACTTTAAAAAGTATTTTAAAGGCCCAATCATATATATGCACCACGGCAGATTTATGGTCTACAAAAACCCGTAGTTTTATGGGAATAACAGCTCACTGAGTAATATTAATATCTTATTTGAATTTTTTTATAAATCATTTTCAAAGATAACAAGAGAAACTCTTGAAAGGTAATCAAGAGCCGTGGCATGTAGAAGAATGCCTGGCACACATTCATTTGATAAATTGCCAGGTTATTGGAAGAAGTCTATAGAGAATGGGATTTCTGATAAACTAATTGTTACTGCCACATAATGCATCCAATTTTGTAAAGTCATTTACTGAATATGGTATGAAATTAAATGATCTTAACAATGATTTTGAGGATTATCTATTAGAGTTTAAAGAAATCAATGATGGTTAGTAAAGATTTTTTTAAAATCTTTATCTTTAGATGATATAAACAAAATAATATTACCCAGGCACATCAGATGTGCCTGCCACACTTTGTCCTTAATTGCAACTAAATATATCATTTCATCAATATCAAGCACAAAGAATTTTGGAAAGATTCATTTTGGATTAATGGGGAAATGCACAAAATTATGGAATGCATATGAAAGGCCCAAATCTTCTGATAAGATAAGGGAGATTACAGGTGGTAGTCAGTTAAAGGTTTCATGCATAACGAGGTGGAACAGTTTATATGATAGTTTGATCTCATTATTAAAATATAAATCCGATTGAAATTATTATTTGAAACAAATGATTGTCAACATTTAAAAGAAATGGATATTGTATATATGGAGGAATATTGTAAGTTTTAGGCCCTGTAGCAATTGCATTAGAAAAACTACAAGGTCAGAGTAGTACATTTTATGGGGAATTAGTGCCCATACTATTTGTAGTTAAAAGGGAATTAGGTAAACTTGAACATTCAAGTTAGAAATATTGTCTACCTCTATTAAAAGCTGTCAAAAATGCTATGGGTAAAAGATTTGGAATTTTTTTTTCTTATGATGATGAATATAATGAGGCCTTTTTGGCATCATTATCACATCCATATTTTAAGAACCTATGGATTGAATCTGATGATAAAAAAAATATTTTCAAAATATATTACTTAAATGAAGCCTTAAATTTAGCATCTATAGTATACCATCAAGCTCATGCTATATCATCAATAGATTTAATATCTAATAAAGAAAATGATGATTATTTTTCCTTTGGTGAAACAAATGTTGTTGAGTTCAACAATACAAACAACATTGAGCTCGAGGTTTTAAATTATATTAAAGACCACCAAAAAACACTAGAAATGCTTAAACATCCTTTATTTAAGGAAATTTTTTAAAAATATAATACTGCCATACCTTCATCAACTCCTGTTAAGAGGTTATTTAGTTTTGGCACAATTTTAAATACGCCAAAAAGGCAAAGGCTCAATGATAAATTATTTGAAAAATTAATTATTTAAAAAAATAATCATTTGATTTAATTTTTTTTTACTTATTTGCAAATTTTCAACTCCCATAAAATATACTACTCTCCCTTCCCTGACTAATGGTCAAAAACTAATATTAAAATCACTGTTATTATAATTAATTCATCAATAAATATTTTATTAATAATTGCAAATATTCATTCTTATTAAATGTGTATGCTATGTTCTACACAAATAAATAATAATAACTGCATTTTATAAACTATTCTCTTGTATTTAAGATACTCTAATTTAGCAAAAGATACAAGTATCTTGTATCTTTATCTAGATTCCTTCTTCGGAGGACCTGCCCAACTCTGTCTACTCATCTCATATACTTTTTAATAGTCTAACATCTATATTTTAACTATACTATAACATAAATTATTTATTAAATATATATTATAATGATCATTTTATAATATCAGCCAGATATTATTAAAATGATGAATTATCGGCCCTATCTGATACGACGTAAAATATAGATACATCTCAACCTAATATCGATCAGACATAATATACATTTATACACACGATAGGGCATCATGTAGTTAGTTAGATGACTCGACTTTAAAAAACGATATCAGCCAAAAATATTAAGCAAGCCTAGAAATATTGCTCATAAATAGCAGAATAATTTGGACATTTATTAAGAAAGAACCGCGTCTAACTACACTAGCATCATGGGATATCAGCAAACGAGTTGAGATTCCGATTTATCAATATCAAGTTATAATGATATTTCAATTGCATCCATTGAGGATGTTGCTGCTAGTGTTGTTAAACGGTTCGTTTTGAGCCGATTTTTAAAAACGGCTAACTCAATATTTTATCCAGAAAATTCGTAAGTCTGAAGATTCTGCTCATAGATCTCGAGGCTTAGGCAATATTTTTCTGGATAAAATATTGGTTAGCAGTTTTTAAAAATCAAACGAGCCGTTTAACAACACTAGTTGCTGCTATTTCATTTGCATCCCATGAATTTTAAGTAAAATTTATAATACATGCTTCTTAAAAAAGATGAATATGAGTAATTAGAAAATTAATATATATAAAAGATAAATTTTATTTCCTACTACATATTAAAATTTATGATGGAATTGAAAAAAAGTAACGCAAAGCAATAAGACAAATATATTGCAAAAAAAGAATAACAAAATAATACATACTATATTGAAGCATATGGATAAAATAACTAAATGGATTAATTCCAATTGTAGTAATATTCTATAAATATAATTCCATGTTTCAATGTGAATAAATTAATAGTAGATATTTTATTATAAATATAAAAATTACCTCCCCCCTCCCACCCAACGAAGCGTGTTCAATAATTTTAAAAAAGTTCCCCCAAACTTCGTGAATTCTACGATATTGTGACTTAATCCTCATCCTTTAAAAAATTTCTGAAGAACCTGCATCTTGCAGCAGCGTCACTAGAGGGAGGCGCAGAGGCTCAAGCTCCCTCTCAAAATTTTGAATTTTTTTTATATCACTAAAAAGGGTATAATTTTAGATGTTATTTTATAAAAATAGTAATTTTGAAAATAATTTTTAAAAGTTTTTTGAGGTCCATGAGCTTGTAACGGTTAGTGACGCCCCTGGCATCTTGCCCCCTACCCCGTGGCAGAAGTTGCTGCCCTTGCCATTGATTTATGTTTTTATATACATTAATAAGATTACATTTGACACCTGTTAAATTTGAAAATGGATTGACATTACTACATAATTTTTATTTCATGAAAATTGTTCCTATTTATTTTTACTTAAATTATTTTTTAATTAGAAAATCTATACGATGGAAATTAATAATTTTACTTAAAAACCAATTATCTTGCTTAATAAGCCTTAATAAAATAAATCGAAGGAGGTTTTATAAATTATTTTAAAATTCAGGATACTTGTCAAGATGACTATGAAAATAAATTTATAATAATAAATGAAATATAAAAAGTGGCAAATTATTCCGATAAGGAAAAAATAAAATTAAAAAACGAATAAAGAACAAAGATTCAACTATAATATAATATATAAAAATATTAATTTAGAAAGTGAATTTTTTTAAATTGAATATTTTCCATGTTGAATAAAAAGAGATTGCGATAGCTACTTCATAATTCAGCCTCTTGTAACTCTATTTTACTATCAAAAACCTCTTTCAAAATTTGGCAGTAGATTTTTCAAAATATATTTTTTTTGTGGAGTAAAAAAAATTAGTTCCGAAGCCCCAAGAGCCTATTAAATTGCGATGTAATAGTCGTAATAGACCCAAAATTCACCTCATTTTTTTTTACCAACTAGACTTGAGTTAAGGCTAAGCTGATTCGAATGAGGTAAAAAAATTTAATATTAAAGGATTTTTTTAAAAAAGAAGTAATTTAAATCACAATTTGATTTATGCCATCCTACACTTATTCCCTAAGAACCAATAAATGACATTTTTATAATGGAAAATAGGATATTCAATTTATTCCAAAAGAAAATGATTGTTATTTTTTTATAAAATGAAAACCATATTTAAATTTAATTATTTATTATAACTTACGTTGGATGGCCAGAATCGTCGTTTTTCTAAAACATCTTCTCTAACATCACGTATAATATTGGTTTGTTGCAGAAAGAGACCCATAGAAATAGGCAGTGTATCATCCTGTAACAGTATAGGGTTCTCACAGGAAATGTAAACGAATAGCTTAGATAGCCCCAGTCCTACAAGACCAGCCACATAGTAACAATACTTTTAGGTTGACATAAAAAAAAGGATTATTTTTTCTTTTAAAATTAGAATGGGTAAATTCAGGTAATAAATTAACAATAGCATAAACGTTTCACTAAAAATGTAACAGTGCAATAAAGGAACACGTTACCATTATTCATTATTTTTTATGACACTGTGAATTTACAGAAATCAACCATAAATTGGAACTGTAACGCCAGTTGTTGGATACATAAAAATGAAACATCAAGACAAATGTTTGTTTCAGTGATCAAAACTAAACCCGAGGCCGCTATTTAATTAACTTAAACAATTAAAAAAAAATTTGTAGCCTAAACCTTTAAAAAGGTCTGTGAACCTGTTTGAATCTTTCGATATCCAAACTGTTTAAAATATATTTATATCAATCACCTTGTATTTAAAATATATTACTCTTTTGATGGTATCCATTAGCATATAAAAGTGTCCTCAATAAAATTCATTCAACTCTCCTTATAATATATAATTTGACAGAAGAGAATCTTGATAATGTTTATTTGTTGCAATAATAAGTTGATATTTTTGTAAGAAACGAGCAAAATCAATAATATAAATGTAAGTTAACATGCGTGGGATGATAATTTTTTTTTTTAAAAAATATGAAGTTCTTATTGTAATGGAGCCGATTTTTAAAAACGGGCCAAATTATTATTTTTATGCCAAAAAATATAGTATAAGTCTCGAGATTTAGCTGATAGATTTTCAAACCTTTGTGCTATCTATGACCATAGTCTTCTGGTTTGTGTAATATTTTTCTGGCTAAAATATTGAGTTAGCCGTTTTTAAAAACACTACTCTTATACATAATTTTAATCTAGGCTTATTCAAATATGAATATAAATATGCATTATTCATATTCGATTTGTTTAAATGTATTAAATAATTTATTATTCGTATTTGAATAATTTCTTATTCGGGTCTGTGCCATTTTTTTGTATATCTTCTTACTTCTCATAAACGTTTAAATAGCAAGCTCATCTTGTTATGTGTAGGTAACTATGGCCTGCCCAATATGTGGATGGTGATTCTCATAAATTTTCTTTTCGTTTCCACAGTTTGATGGGCTTATTCTTGAGAAAAAAGCATTGTTATTGTATATAACCCTCATAGGGCTAGATACTTAAAATCATAATAATTCATTATTTAAAAATATTATAGGATAATTCATATCAAAATATATGAATAGATTTTTTTTTATTGCATATCTAATTTTAAACAAAAAAGAGATTATTTTGATAGTCTGCGCAATAAAGAATAGTGATCAAGTTATTGATGAGATTAAAATGCATATTAATTCAATTTATAATGCCAAGCCAATTTTTAAGGTAAAAGCCTTTCATTTCCCTATAAGATATTAGAATTTTAGACAGCATATTAGTTTCAACTTCCAACTAAGAAAAGCCTTTTATAAGAATTGATGTATACTAGAGATTTGAAATGACCATGCTGGGTAACATTTGAAATTTTGTTACCTGGGCTAGGCAAAAAAATAAGAGGCTGGGATGGGTAAGCAAAAAGTAGAGATGGCTAGCTGACTTAATAAAGAATAGGAAAAAATTTATTGTAAAGCCTAATTTCGTTAAAATAATATTATTTTATTTTGCAAAACTTTAATAATTAAATTATGACCTGCTACTATGAATTCATTCATAAATATAATTTCCTCCCATATTTTGTGTTTATGCTTTTATAAGGAAATCATGAAGGAATCCTCATCATTATTGGTTATTTGACAATATAAATTACATTATTACTATGTTTTTTTTGCTCATAATTTTGAATTTTAATTTTATCTCAAAATATATACAAATCATCGTTGACCCAAATAGGATATATTATGTAAATGATCACATATTTGTTAGAAGTAATAATCCATAAAGTATAAGGGTCATTCCATGACAAATCAACCACGATTCCGCTCGATTTTTTTAAAATTTGGTAAGCAAAGAAAGGTCGATGTGTAACTGAGAAATAGCCAAAATTTTAGCCTCCTAACATTGACGATAAGTCAAAGTGGCAAAAATGACGTATTTTTACCATTATTTGCCTTCATTCAATTTAGCATATCTTAAAAACTACATAATTGTAAATAACAAATATAAAAATTACATACAAAGATTCTACTTTTGATAAAAAAAAATTATTTTCCCCAATTTCCAGCCATTTTATTTAATATATAATGACTAAAAACGATTTTTTGGAAGTAATAAAAATTTCAATTTTTTAAAAAATTTAGTAGACATTACTAAATTCTTCCTTTATATTTATTTAAAAAAAATTGGTCTTGACGCGGCCATATTCATTCTTAAAATCGATAAAAATGTTTAGAAAAGTGTATAAATATTTTCAAGAAAGGGCGCCTTTGTATAAAATTATATATTAATAAGTTTTTAACGGTGGGTCTATTTATCGCTCGGTTGAAAATATCGCTCGGCTAACCACACTATAAATTATTTTATTACTAAATATCGCTCGGCTAACCACATAATAAATCATTTATTACTAATTATTAGTGCTGTAAACATTTTTAAAAAAATCGAACGCGTTCAACGTTCATTGACAAAAATCGAACGCGTTCACGTTCACGTTCAAATTCAAAAAAAGGAACGCGTTCAAGTTCATGAACGCGTTCATACGTTCAAAATTTTATGATAAATTTTTTTTTAAATTTAATTTGATATAAATAAATGCCTTATATTTTTCAACACAATATATTAGCCATGATAAAAAATAATAGTTTTATTTTGATAATATAATTATAAATACAATATAATAGAGCGATAAAAAAATAAATTTATAAAAAAATTTTCCTATTAATTTTTAATAATTGCTTTTCAAAATTTTCATCTGATAGGCATGAACGCTTGTCAGTTAATACAGCGTTAGCTATACTAAAAACTCGCTCAACAGGGGCAGATGAAGGGATTGCGGTGTTATACTTGATAAATAATTCTTTTAAAAGGGGGAATTTATTAAAAACATTTAATGTTTTGTCCATTGTTTCAAAAAATTGAGCTATGTTATCATCCTCCAATCTGCCCTCTTCTTTCTCGTCAAAAAAAAAGGATATCTCGGAATTGATTTTAAAACAGTGAAATATTTTTGATATTTGGGCCATGGTAATTCTAATTCATCTAATATTGAATTTTGATTTTCAGAATCTGATGATGAAATATTTATATCCATGCAAATGCTAATCTATTAAATTAAAATATAAAATATTCAAATTAATAAACTTTAATCTTATCTTCTAGCAGTAGCACTATGGTACGTTAATTGCAATATGAAAGAGGAAAAAGTAAAAACAGCTGATTAAAAAATATAAGACTTTTTTGTTAAAAAATTGGATTAAATATTAATTTTTCAAATAAATAAAAATATAAGACTTTTTTGTTAAAAAATGCGGATTAATATTAATTTTTCAAATAAATAAAAATATAAGACTTTTTTGTTAAAAAATGCGGATTAATATTAATTTTTCAAATAAATAAAAATAAAAAGTGTTTTTAAAATTGAACGAACGTAAAATTGAACGCGTTCATCAAAGAAAAGGAACGCGTTCACGTTCAAAGTTCGTCAAAAAAAAGGAACGCCGTTCATCACCTTTTTTCAAAAAAACGAACTACTACTAATTATCGCTCGGCTGGAAAATGTTGCTCGGCTAACCACACAATAAATCATTTATTACTAAATATCGCTCGGCTGAGGAATATAGCTCGGCTATAAATAATCCTCTATTTATATATTATATTTACTATCATATTCTAAGTGAGCTTTCATTTTCTTAATATTAATTGAGTATTATTCATTTTTATATATAAAATAAGTGTTTGGAGGTATAAAAAAATTTCTATTAGGTATTTAAGCATCAATACTTTTATAAAATTAAATTTAACCATAATCCTTATTTTTTATAAAAGTAATAATAATATTCTATCCGCTAGATGACGTCAATATTATTAATTTTTTCTAAATAAAAATAATGAATAGATTTAATATATTTTTTTTAAATATCTAATAAATACTACCAAGTTAGCCTCCTAAATCAACACACCCACTTAGTAACTTGACCCAATCCACGTCATGTACGCAACCTTCTTCCACTGTACTAAGTTTGAGACTGTTCCTCCCTATCAAAAGTGAAATAGTAAGTATAATCACATTCTGTTTCAGATATTGTTGTAAATTTTAGATTAGTTAAATTTGTACTTTATATTTAATTTGCATAAAGAATTCTTTTGGATTTATTATTATAACGCGTGATAAAAATATCATATTTGAATAGTTATGAATATTAGTTATAAAGAAGTTTGAAAAAAGTATAAAAAGGCCAATTTTTACCATACAAAATGATCTTTTATAATTATTAACTTTTTTGTATTTTATTTTTATTAATCTTTTTTATTATTTTTACTTTTATAATTTTGTTAATTTGATAATGTTATAATTTTGAATAAAGGATTAAATCATGATTTTACGAACTTAATTTTTTTTAATCTTTAATTTTAATTTATTTTGATTATATTTTTTTATTATTTAATAAAGATTTAGTATTATTTTAGTTCTAACTTTTCTTTATTTGACGAATATTATAGAAAAGTATATATAATCGAGGAATTAGTCTGATTTAGTATCATTTTAGTCTAACCTTTCTTTATTTGACAACGGTTCTAATCACCCAATCCTTCTAAATTCTTCCAAATGTTACATTGGTGATGGAGAGCGGAGGAGACCGGCCCTTTACAATAATTCAGTCTAATTAACTCTGAAAGGAGATTCTAAATAAAGGGGGAAGGGGATGTATGAAATGACGATCGACACAAAGACAAAGAATTAGGTCAATGAAACATGGTGTCAATATCAATGGTCGTAATTCGAAAAAGAATAGAATTAGTCGTTTATTAAAAGGAATTCGTCACAAGAGATCATTATACGTACAAGTGATCGATGTAGCTAAAAGAAATTCGTTATAAATTTTTATT